TACTAGTTTACTGAGAAATATTATTAAAAGTAAGTATTGAACATTATTAAATTACTTTTTGCATCTATTAAGATGATCAAGTATTTTTCTTCCTTATTCTGTTCACTTAATGATTTGCATAAATTGAATTTTATATGTTGAAACAACCTTGCATTACTGGAATAAATCATGCTTCAGTAGTAAATTGTGATTAAATCATAATTCACTGTGATTTAATATATCAACAAAGTTTATTGAAGATAGGCAAAGATTTCTTAAACAGTACATTAAAACATAACATTCACCTAATTTTTGTTATAGATGCCACTGCTTTAGGGAAAGGAAAGAATATTCTTTTTAAAAATATGATGCTGGAGCAATGGGATAATCAAAAGGAGAGAAATAAACTTTGATCTTTATTTTCCTTTTTTGAAAATGCTATAATATACTTAGTATAAAATTTATCATTTTAACCATTTTAAGTGTACATTTCAGCAGCATTAAATTCAATTACATTGTTGTGCCACTACCACTATCACTAGAACTATTTTTTATTGGTGCATTATAATTATACATGATAGTGGGCTTCATTGGCCAGAACTTTTTTTATCCTCTCAAATAAAAACTCTATAATTCATTAGATAATAATTTCCTATTGCCTCATCTCCAGCCCCGGAAACCATCATTCTACTTTCTGTCTATAAAGTAGACTCTCGGGGTACTTCATATATAGAATCCCATGGTATTTCTCCTATTGTGACTGGCTTCCTTCACTTAGCATAGGTCTCCTCAAGGTTTATCCATGTCCCTGATTTTTCATTTATCTTGGGTATATACTCAGAAATGGAATTACTGGGTCTTATGGTAATTCTATTTTTGCAGTAAGACAATGCAAATAAAGAAAGAAAAGGAAATGTCTTACAATTTTTCCATAGAAGCTGTGCCATTTTACATTCCTATCAGTAGCATTCAAGGTTCCCAACTCAAATTGTATACAAAATTAATTTGTTTAAAATTAATTTTAGATGTATTCCAGGCCTTCTTTGGAAAGGTAAACAATGAAGCACTCAGAAGAAAACATGGACAAATAATTTCATGACCTTTAAGTGTAGGCCTAACTTTGAGGTGCTGTTTTGATGGCAGAGTTTTGGTATCTATTGATGGCTTTCGGATATGATGCAGGATTATAAAGCTCTAAAGTCTTCTAATTACCTTGCACGATATCTTATGTTGAAACTGAGTGCCTTTAAATAGAAATGCATGCTCCAGTTGTTCCAGTCTTCATCACTCCCTGAAGACTCCACAGACCAATTGTTTTTCCCTTCATTTAACTGCTTGAATCCTGAAGCACCTAAGCTGATGATCCTTTGTCTACAGTATTATCGTGACCAAAAAACTGTTACTGATATGTGTTTTAATTAGAGACTCATTGCATATACACAAAAAGGTATTACCAAAGAACATTGATTGCTACTGTCATGGTGTCTTCTTCTGATTGGCATGGGACTCTCAATAATTACCTGTTACAAGTAAGATAAGTTTGAAAATCCTTCACATGAAGATATATGTATACATAATCAGAGCCAAGGAAGTAGGCTGTAAATGCACCAGTGACACAGGGCAGGTTCCATGTTACCCCATCTCTCCGTGTACATGCCATCCGTGTACATCAGGCCACAGGCGAACACCTCCCAGCACAGTGTACTCTGGGGGAGATGACCTAAGACAATATTATGGGTGCTCATAATCTTACAGTTACCAAAGGATAGAGGTGATGGTAGAGAGCTTTCTGAGATTTGGGCTTGCTTCACAATTCTATGTGAACACGATCCAGTCCAAAACAGGTAAACAAAGGAATAAATAGTACCGCTTTCCCCCTTTCTCTCTTTCTTTCTCTCTCTTTCTCCTGTGGTACTGGATATTGAATCCAGGAGCATCTACCTCTGCACTACATTCCCAGCCCTTTTCTTATTTTATTTTGAGAGAGGGTGTCACTAAGTTGTCCAGGCTGGTCTTAAACTTGCAATTTTCCTGCCTCGGCCTTGGAGTAGCTAGGATGCACCATCAAATTCAGCTCCCCTAGTATCTTAGTGAACTTCTTCAGCAATATTGAGGTCAATTAAATGAAGGTGGTTATAAAAGGGGAAAAAATCCAAAGACAAAATCAGAAACATGTTTGAGAACCAGCAAGTAATTTGGTGTGGCTGGAGCATAGGGTTCCAGAAAAGTACTAGGGCAAGATAAAAGGAGCAAGGATCTTCTTACTGAAAAAAGGCAATTTAAAGTGGAAGCCCTCTCCACCCTCCCACCCACCCTCTCCACCTTCCCACCCACCACCACTGTTGACTTTGAAGGAGCAATATATTTGGATTTTCATATACTGGTTAATTATAGCATACAGACTTCTTAATCACTATACTTACCCAATGTGTTCTTTTATCTCCGTGAATGGTTTAATGTGATAATCATGCTTCTAGTCAAAACATCTCTATTTGGCAGTCAGAGCTCACCCAGAAGGAGACTTGGATTCAGAGGTGACCTGGTAGCAACTTCAAATTTCTAACAAGTAAATTAAAATAAAAACAAGTATCAAAAATATAAACAGAGAGCTAGTTAAGATAGTGAATATATGTAACTTTCTTACCTCTATACCTATCTGTAGAAAATTAGGTTAAAATTTTTTGAACACAAGAGGAATCTCATAATATGTGTTATTGTATTTAATATATAATTGTACATATAAATCTACTTCTATAAACCTGATATCATGCTCAAAACTGTCTTATAATTTTGTGCTATACTCAAACACTTGCAAAATTAGTGTCATTTCCATTATACAAAGCAGGAAAGTAAAAGTTGTTCTCCAGCTGGCTGTCCAATCTCACTTTGACATTTCCACCTTCCTCAGCCTAACCCCATCCAATATCTGTGCTGTTATTTTTTATTCTCCTAAGCCACAGCTGCCCCTTCCCTATTAAATAATACTCAGTGGCTCACCATTGCCTACCACATAAAGTCCATGTTCTTCTACATGTTCAAGATCTGTCCTCCTGGCCCTTTCCTCCACCCCCAAATTTTGCTCGAACTCCCTTTCCTGATTTACCTCCTAGATCACACACTTAAATCAAACCAAAGTTATTGTATGCACTGCATTGTACTTTTCATTGCAAAATTTTCCTAGACCATTTACTCTAATTGGTCCTATTATTCTATTTCCTTACTTTTAAAGCCCAATTCAAATATCTCCTTGTGAAGTTTTCTCTCATTTCTAAATGCCTAAGAAGTTAGTGCACATGTTCCTGGGATCAGAGAATGAGAAATGGAGAGATTAGCCTGAAGTCTGTCTCCCAGTCTGATCCCAGTTGGTGTCTGGACTCTACAAAGGAAGGAGACGTTGGGCAAAAGTTAGTAGTCATTTTAACAAGAGAATACTTAAAAGACATAAAGCACAAGCAATCTTGGATTCATTCCCCTATAGCAGAGCATAAAGCAAAGGCAGAATGAGAGTAAGATGTTACCTCTGAACACGTGCAGACTAATATCTAGTTCTCCTCCCTTCCAGCTGCAATGAGCCTGTTGGAACCCACAGAGCTGGAGAGAGCAGCAAAGAATTATGTGGGAGTGACCTTGTTTTTGAGCTCATATGAATTCTCAGAATCTTCAGGAATCCCCAGAAATATTTGAAGGACACTGTACATGGCTGTTATGATTTAGATATAATGTGTCTCTCAAAAGCTCCAGCCTTAATGCAAGAACATTCAAAGGTAAACTGATTGGATTATGAGAGCTGTAACCTACTCAGTCCATCCTGGTTTGAACCGACTAATTGGGTGGTAACTGTAGGCAGGTGGAACATGGCTGGAAGAAGTGGGTGTCTGGGAGCGTGTTCTGGAAAGGTCCGTCTTCCCCACTTCCCCTCTCCATCTCTCTGCTTCCTGGCCACCATGGAACAGTGCTCCTCCACCACCTGCTTCCATCATGATGTGCTAACTCCACTGTTCTGGGCCTTACCTCTGGCCAAGAGCAAGGGAGTTAGCACACCATGGACTGAACCTCTGAAACCATGAGCCTAAATAAACTTTTCTTCCTCTAAGTTGTTCTTTTTGAGTATTTTGGTCACAGCAATGAAAAGCTGACTAATACAATGGGCAAGACCCTGCGTAAGCAACCTGTGACAAAAACCTATAGAATATGAATTACTATTATTGATATCATTTCATTTATGATTGATATAATTTCATTTATGTGCACAGGCAGTTAAGACCTGGAAAAACATGGGTTACACTGACATTCACTTACAATTTTTTTTTAAAGAGAGAGTGACAGAGAGAGAGAGAGAGAGAGAAAGAGAGAGAAAATTTTAATATTTTAAAATTTTCGGCGGACACAACATCTTTATTTGTGTGTGGTGCTGAGGATCGAACCCGGGCCGCACGCATGCCAGGCGAGCATGCTACCGCTTGAGTCACATCCCCAGCCCCATTCACTTACAATTTGACATGGTTTAAAACTTATCTCCACATAAGAACCTGATCTTATGTGGAGATAAGTTTTAAACACACACGTGAGGAGGTATTATTACCACCAGGTTTTCCCCATAGTGCTTATTGTGGAGAGAGTCCAGAACTTGTTAGCAGACCTAAATTTTGGCTCTTCTTTTTTGCATATGGTTGGGGGACCCTGGATAAATCCCAGCTTCTTTGAGCTTCAATTCCTTACTTGTAGAACAGGAATAATGATCCCTTCTAGAAGGGGATTCCATAAGACTCTGAGATGAGGAAGGAATCCTGTTCAAGTATGAGAAATAATTATGGCAGGTGACTTTCTTGCATTACATTCATTTTCTGCCTTGCCTCAATAGACTGAAAATAATGAAAGGGTCAACCATGGCTTTCTGGTCTTGACAGAGTATGTTCACAGTATGATGGTGTGGAATACTGCAGAGGTAGTGAGCTGTCTATCTCTAGGATGAGCCTGGTGGGGAAGATTCAAAAGGCAGAAAGTCTTAGACTTGACACTGGTCCTCAGAACCTAAGATTATTTATTAAGTCAGTCAGGTTCAAAACAGATTCAGATATAACAGGTCAAATCAAGCTTCCCAGGAACAAAATACATGGGTAAAATGGACAGAATATTAACTATCAGGATGAAAAAGTTGAAATCAATGCGTTGAATGTGAAGGTTTCCATTATACTTCGAACATTAAAGTTTGAACATTAAACTGGAAAGAGGTTTCATGTAAAATATTTGTTGAATTGGATCAAAGCAAATTTTATTCTAGAATTTCAAAAGTTAAAAAAAAAAGGAAGTAGAAGGTAACTTTGGGGTTTTAGTTGCCTGACAACTCACTATGGGACAATAGTGTGATGTAGCTTCTAAGAAAATCTAGGTCCCATTTATGACAGAGAGCATCTGCAGAAACAAGGCAACGCTCCCAGGGGCACAAGGCCATGTTTGAATCATCACTTGGGCCCTGTGTGCCTGTTACAGTGGCTGGCAAGCTGCAAGGGCTTGCTGGGAATCCTTCCCTGGCTTAGTGCTCAGTTTGATAGTGCAGTCTCTCTCTGTGCAAGCCCTGTGCTGAGTTCACTGTGCTGGGTTCAAATGTGAAGGAATGGTATTTGGGCCAAGAAAGCTGTATCCAGGTGAAGAGAGGTGGGACAGAGGAAGGGAGCTCCGGGCAGACGGGCAGATCCACTGTCTATTCTGTGATTCTCTGGCTGGGGCTCAATTGTACTTTCTTTCCTTCCCAAATCCCAATTAAAATACAAGTTTCTGGGGGAAAAAATGCAGGGAAAGGGTTCATCAGACTTTCTAAGAAGTCTTTATTTCTGTTTTGTTTTCAGTAAAAATATGCTCCCTCACCTGGGAGAGAAGTAGTAAAAGTATTGACACGTTTAAGAAAATATTTGGAGTATTTCAAATGAGGCTAAAAAAGGAGATGAATTTAAGAAACCTGCAGGTCTAGAGTAAAGGTTCTCATAGCCACCCATAATCTGCTTGCAAAGGAGCAAAGGAACTAATTAAATTTGGAGAGGATCACACGCCTGATAAAATAATTAAAAATAAATTGCTCTCCTTGGAAATGCAAATTGCTAAGCCATAAAGCAACCCTGTTGGTCACATTGACAATAAATAGACGTATTTTCTCAGGTCTTTTAGGTGGCATTGATTGATTTCCAATTCTGGATAAAACAGGGCCTGAGCAGCTTTTGAAACAAAGGTGAGGAGAACCCAGGCCTGAGGGGGACAGCCTTTGAAAGCCTCAAGCCTTAAATGCCCCCACCTTTGGAATTTTCCAGGCAGAGATTAGGGGATCCCCAGGAATCAGAATTGACCTGCTGCTTGCCTTGAGAACATAGGAGGACCTAGTGGCACTGCTGACCCCTCCTCCACACGTTACCACAATGTTTTCCTGCTGCCCAGAATTGTCAGGTCATGGGAAAGATGCCCTGGAGCCAATGGATGGGTCCTTTGGTGGGGGAAGAAGGGGAGCCAGCCTTGGGGGCCTAAGTGTAGCACTACTGCATGAAACAGAAATAGCTTTTTCTCAGCAATGACTTAGTAAATCTTATGGCATAAAAGCAAACACCCTCCCCCTTTCCTCCCCAAATCCTCAAGCTACAAAATGTTTTATAGAACCAGTATTGATTCACCTACTCTTAAGCTCTTGAGTAGGCATTTGTAGATGGGATAGGGGGAAAAAAATTGGATTTCTGGTCTAGAAAGATGTTACATTCTGGTTGGGAGGCAGTCTTTAGGTAAATGAATGAATGTTCCCAATTCTTTCTGCCTTGCTGACGTTGGGCTCTTTCCTGTACCTCTTACCTGGAAGAAAGAGATTACCTCAAGCCAATGTTAACTGGGCTACCAGTGTTTCCAGGAAATTAGTAATGAAGAGAAGACCCAAGAAGAGGGAGAGGGGAAGGGAAAGGGCAAGGAAGGGTTGGACCCACCCAGGACTCCACCATCAGGGCTCATCTGACCCTCCAATCTGTGTGAGGGAGGCACTTCTCTACCTACAACCTCTAGGGGGCGTGGTCAGGGAGAGCCTGAGTAATGATGATGCTATCTGCGTCTGAAAGTTGCAAGGGGTAAATAACCTGGCACCATATAGTTTTAATTTCTTTCTCCATTACTGCTAAGGTTGTTGAACATTTTTTTTCATGTATTTGTTGACCATTTTTATTTCTTCTTTGAAAAAAACAAAAAAATGTATATTTAAGAAAAAAAAAAGTGCTCATTAAATGTTCCCTCTGATTCCCAGGCAACTTGCCCAAGGCCACAGCTGTAGGGAAGGACAGGAAAAGTCCCCATGTGCTCCTTCCACCAGATGCAGGTGCCTCTCAGGAGTCAGTTGTCTTCATCTTCCTCTTGGTGCTTCCTCCTATCTGTGGTCCAGCCTTCAGCTCCGTTCAGACCCACCCAAAGAGACTTGTCTTTCTGTGCTCTGAGACTCAGCTGCGACAGCTTTTTGGCTTTCCAGGATAAGCAGAGGAGGGAAATGAGCAGAAGAACAAACATGACCAAGGGACAGATGACAAGAAAGTAGAGTAAAGGTGTCGAGGAGCAGATCCGGGAAGGAAACGTGGTCTCTGCAATGAAAGGGAGGAAAATACAGAGAACGTCATTCTCCCACCTATCTGGACTAACCAGTCATGCACATTTCTCAATTTAATGTTACAGGCAAATATATGTAAACACAAAGGGGCCAAGCGACGTGTGGGAGCCCAGGACAGGGTGCTTGCTGGGAGAGGCCTCTGGAATGCACAGCTCTGCTCACCTAATGCTCGCAACTCCCCCTTGCCCAGCAATTTCCAACCACTGGAGTTTCCAATGACCTACTTAAAACTACCAGCACAAACCAAAGACAAAACAAAAAGAAAAAGAAAATCTCTCCTTTAATCTTCCTTCCTCAGAAAAGATATCTATAATTCAGCCCTCGTTCTCAACTATGTTGCCAGCCCTGAATTTTTAACTGAGCTATTCCCACTGCTGCTTCTGAAACACATACCACACTGCACTGTCCTCGTAAACATCTGAGCCTGCAGAGAGAAGCACTTCCCTCCCTGACCCATACCTGGCCTCCAGGCAGAACCCTCTTGGGCTCCTTTTCTGGGCTGCTCAATTGTCCCTCCCTGTACCTAATTCTCCAGGTCCTTCCTGCCTAGCCAGATCACTCTTCCTTTCCTGGTGCTCCTACCTGGCCTTGGGCACAGGTCTCTGCTTATTCCCCTCTCGCACAGCCCTTTGTTTAGACCTCTTTCCTCCCCTTTAACCCATCTCTTTGTTTTATTACAGCTATCGAGTACATCTGATAGTGTCATGTGTTTCTACACCCCCTACAGTGCCTAGGACACATGTTCAATAACTTCTGCTGATCTGAATTAAATCAGGTTGACTGCAACCACCCAGGCCAAAGATACTATATAAAGTCGTGCTGAAGTATGTGATCCTCCCGCAGCTGCAGTCCACAGGGAAGCACCATCAGCAGACAGACACGTGGAGCACGCACAAGCAGCCTCAGAGTGGCTCCTGGCCGCTCGCTCGGTCAAGGGAGCAAAGAGGAGAGGATTGCAAACACCACAGGTTCCAGCAAATGATGCCCTGAGCTACAACCGGTCAAAAGACCACGTTTACAGACTCTTGAAGCAGAAAGTCATAGGCTTAAAGACATACCGACCACTAATTATAGCCTACCAACTGCATTTATTTATGACATGATATTTGAAATCAGGGCCATTCAGAAAAAATCGCATGCTATCAATAGCTGTGCTTTTCTTGGAAAATTGTAACGACATAAGCAATCTCTTCTTCAAAGGTTAAGCTATAGGATTCATAGAATTATAGACTCTTCGAGATGAAAACAGGTTTATAGGTCATTATGACCCATCTCCTGCTGTAAGAATTCCATTTTGGGCATTGCTAATGCATTTTACATGTTGAAAAAAAATGAGAAAGAATCTGGACATTTGCTCAAGTGCTGTATTGTGTGTTCCTTGAAGGTAAGGCCTGTGTCTTATGAGTCTTTTTATCTTGTGCAGCACTTTATCCTCAGGACCTCAATGGAGCCTAATGAATGCAGTATTGTATAAATGCATTTCACAAGGGAACAAGGGACAGCCGCCATTGTATTATGAAAAGTAAGGATCCTCCTGAACTTGAGGCTGGCAGCTCTGAATGGGCTGGCAAAGAGCTACAGGGGTTTGTGGCTGGGATTTTTTCTGGTCTCACTTGCATTCTCCATGCTATTTTTTTTTTTTTTTCCTTTTTGGAAGTATGAGCAATGGCAGTGCCAGATTTTGAATTCTTTACCATCTCCTCTCCACATTCTACCAGCTCCTCTCCCAAATGATCCAGCTTGATTACAGTTATTGTCCCAGGTCTCATCTGAGCACACTGAAGCCATGGTTAAAAGGAAGCATAGATAATGCTGAAAGAGAATGGAGCCGGGACTAGGTGCAGAGGTCACTGGCCATGGGCATTCATGCAGAGTAACGAATGAGCACCTACTATATTTCAGAGAGCTGGGTTCAAATCATTATGCTTCAACTTACTGGAAGTTACTTATCCTCTCTAATCATTAGTTTCCTCATCAGACAAACAGGGATAATAATGTCTAGAGTTATGATGTGATAATGCACAATACAACATTTAACATAATGCTTAATAGCATTTGTTGACTCAGAAAACAATCAATATTAGTTAGAGTGCTACTGAGAAAGCTGAGAAAAATTGCAGACAACTTACTCTCAAAAGACTATATAGAGGATTCCTGTTGCTTCCTCATTCAGGCATCACATGTGCCATAGTTTGGATCTGGAATGTCCCCCAAAAGCTAATGTGTTAAAGGCTTGGTCCTTAGCTTGGCACTACTAGAAGCTGGTACAACCTTTAAGAGGGGGATCTATTGGAAGATCTTAGGTCACTGTGGGTATGCCCTCAAAGAGGATCGTGGGACACCAGTCTCTTCCTTTTTCTTTGCTTCTTGGATGCTATGAGGTGAGCAGCTTTCTCTGCTGCACACTCCTGCCATAATGTACTGCCTCCCAACAGGTCCAAAACAATGGACCAACTGATTATGAACTGAAATCTCTAAAACTATGAATCAAGAGAAAACTTTCTTGGGGCTGGGAATGTGGCTCAGTGGTAGAGTGTCTGCCTGGCATGCACAAGGCCCTGGGTTCAACCCCCAGCACCACACACACAAAAAAGATAAACAAAGGTTTATCTGAGGTATTTTGTCACAGAGATGGAAAGCCAGTTAACATGACAGTCTTGGCCAAGTTCTTCTACCAGCTAAATTCTCTTCGATCTCATCCTTAGCCCCAAACCTGGGCAACCTTCAGCTAAAAGGCTCTGGCTTCCTTTCTAGTCACGGGAGGCCGAGAATTTGAGGTGGGAGTTGGCTGTACCAAGTCTCACAGTTGCTAAGATGGTGGTGTGATGATGGTGAGATGGGGCTGGCACATGGGTGGTGGGAAAAAGAAATCTGGTACTGAACTTCTTTGCCCCTGGGACTGTAATCTTCTGCATGAAGGGACTGCCAGAGGCCTTGATGGTCTTAATGGGGAGGAGGATGCTCTGCTTAGAGCAATCTGCTATCAAAGGACGGCAAAGTGCACTCCTCACAGCGCTGAATTAGCCAGCAGCTACCAACTGTCAGCTCCAGTGCTTCTAAATTACCTCTCCTGGGAAGGCAGTGTTTTCTCTGGATCCCACATCACCATTTCCCACCATCTGCCTCTCACCCATATTTGGATTAGAATTGGTGACACTCAAAACCATCAGGGTTTGGCATTTTGAATCAATCAAAGTGTCCAATGCTCAAAGTACAAGCCCTGCAAAACAGAGCCAAAAAATTTAATGAGAACACTTTATCATGAGGCTTAGTTTATAACTTGCTCCTCCCACAGCCATAGGGAGCCTCCTTTTGGATACTATCTCAGAAACACTGACTTCTGAGAAGTGTAGGATGATAAGGGGGCTCCCAATTCCTCTCCACCCCTCAATCCAAAACTTGGGCAATTGGCTATACCACACATGCAAGAGTGGTTCCTGCCAAGAAATAAAAGTGGGGGAAGGCCTTCTGATATCAGGTGCATCTCAGAATCAGTAACGCCCTGTCAGCATTCCATTTCAACTTAATGGAAGACTTGCTCATTCTTTGATCAAGCATGTGTTGAGTGCTATGTGCCAGGCCTCACTGAAGGCAGGGGTGAGAGGTAAACAAATGACATGACCTCTCCAGGAACATCAGTGTGGTAGGATGTGTGTCTCCTTTAAGAATCCACCTTCTCAATAAATCCTCACCCCAAAAGAGCTGGGAAATGGCTACAAGTACTACACTACTAAAATAATCCAGTCCCCAGAAAGCCTTACAACCTGGCCTATCAATTAATCCAGACCATTCTTCAAAAAATAAAGAACTTCATATGTAGGGCCTGAGGATGAGGCAAACAGACTCAGGCAGCTGTAAGCCCTGTCCTGGCTTGGCCATTGGTAAGGAAGTAAGATGGAGAAGAAAAGGTAAGGTCCGTTCTCCCAGGGAATGCCTCTTAATTATTCTGCCTTCACTGGAGTTCCCTGCTCCACGACTCTAATGTGTAAAACTAACCCAACCCGGGGTGCCCATAGAGGGGGTGGAAAGCCACTGAGAAGTGACAATTAGCAGTATATTATATGTGACCCGGGTACTTTTTAACACATGGAACTGGTACTCTCCAGGAATGGGATTGTGACTCAGTAAGTATCTGAGCATCTCTTGCATGCCAGATGGAGCCCGATGGGGACAAGACACCCATAGTCTTTGTCTGCTCAGAGGGTCAGTCTAGCAGTGGTGGTGGGTGAATGTGGTCGTGATGACTAAGAGAGCAAGGTGGCTCACGGTGACAGCAGCAGCTCAGTTGGTGGGTGAAAGATTAGAGGTTGACCAGGGAAGAAGGTGTGGAGGGGGCCGTGAGGCACTACCAGTGCCGGGTGTCAGCCGTGTCTAGTCTCTTCTGCACTTCGCCTTCTTCCTCTCTACAGTGTGAATGTGCTCAAGTTCCTACCATCTTTGAAGCAACACAGAAATAAAGCAGAACGAAAATGCTCTCCCTGACACCTCTTGCTATGTTTGTGGTCTTCTCTCTTTCCCGTTATAGCTCTTGAGAGAGTCATCTGTACTTGATGGGCTGCTTGCTCATTTCTAGACCAGTGCAATCTGACTTCTCTCTTTACTGTTCTGCAATTGTCCTCCTATCTTGTCAAATCCATGGAAACGCCATTCTTAGCTAAGATTTCTTTGCACTGTCCAGCACGTTGTCTCTCCCTTCCCTCTTGATGCCCTCTCTGTCCTGGGTTTCTGTGATAGCACTGAATTCCAATTTTCCTCCTACTTCCCAGCCATCACAGTCAATCTCCTCCTTCACAGTCTGCTTCTCTGTTCTCCTGATCAATAGTGATATGTCTCAGGGACCCAACTCTGAGCATCATCGGTTATAAATTAATAGCCCCTAATGTACAACTCTGCTGCATATTCCATTTAGAAGCCCCCATGACTATCAGACATATTATTTTTGATAATTCACACGTAATCCAAACTCAATGCCAGCTCCATTTACTCAAAATTGAACTAATCGCCCCCTATAAACCTTGCTCCTGTGTTACCTTGCTTGGTCAATGACATCACTGTTCACCTAAGCCAGCATCCAAATAGTCATCCTCGATTTTCCCCTTCCACTCATTGCCCACATATATCTAATCAGTATCTAAATCCTGAAGATTAGGCCTCCTAATGCCTCATGCTGTCCTTCTCTCAGTCTCACTGGCACTGCCTTAATTCATCTTGTCTCATCGGGTTCCTACAATTTCAGATGATTCTCCCTGCTCTGTCTGCCTTTGCTCCAATTGATCAGAAATACTACTGCCAGTGGGAACTTTCTATAAAATGCAGATCTGATGCTGTCACTTCCCTCTTTGGACTTTTTCAGCAACACCCCATAACTGCACGATAAAGTGCCCTTCCTTAGCTTCAGACACCAGATGTACCCAAGATCTGTGCCTTCCTCATCTCACTGGTCTCAGCTGTCACCATTGTAGCACAGTCCTTATACCTAGGGGACCCTCCCAGATCTCCTTCCTACCCTGCCCTCACCTAGCTCAGTTGTTCCTTTAACGCGACTGAGAATGCTTCTTCAACAACACCTGTCATGTTGGACTTGACTTCCCACTCTGGACTCCAAGTCCTGTATATACCTCGTAATATACATTTTTTTTTTGTATTCTCAGAACCTCATGTAAATTTAATTATTGAACAAATGAAATTATTTTGTCAGGGGATGTAGCTCAGTGGTAGAGCACTTGCCTAGCATGCGTGAGGCCCTGGGTTCCATCCCTAGCATCACAAAAGAAAAAGAACTTGTCACATAGGTGTACATACAACTATGTATATATGTGCATATATGAATTATATACATACATGTGTGTAACATGTTTGGAGGCATAAGAGGAAAAGGAGTTAGCATTTGTTTAGCACCTGTAATGTGCCAGGGATTATACTGGGTACTTTAAAACACATTTACATTTTGATCTTCATTTTACAAGAAAGCTGAAGCTCACAGAAGTCACGTACCTATGGTATGATTTCATGGCTCATAGGTGGCAGAGCTGTGATCTGAGCCCAGGCTTATCTGACTTCAACCCCTGGGAACTTTTCATCACCCAGACTGTCTCCCCAACCACCAGAGAGGAACAGTGAGGCGGAGGATTCAAGGTGCTATATTATAAGGATTTCCTTGAGAATCCTTGACATTAGTCACGCTGAAAATCCTCAGTTGGTCATGGCACAGGCTTTTGAGCTTTTTCAGTTGTGAAGAATATAAATACCACTCAATTTTTAATGTTTCCTTTCCAGAGTTTGTCTTTTTAAAACTTTACACCTGTTTTACAAGGATTCCACTGAGATTAACAACATATATATGCTATGAAGGATCTCAACTGCCCCAGAGGAGCTGTGCTTTCTAGTCACAGAATATGTACTTTTTACTGTTATTATCTATTTATTCTACTGAAAAAATTGCTGATTCTACAAAGCCTTAGAATTCCAGTGGGAAAACATGTATGGAATGTGCTCAGGGGTGGTGGGACCTCCTATAAATGTTGGAACAAAGGGCTAATAAGAAAAAAAGTTCTATCTGGACATTTGAGAGAAAAAAAAAATCTGAAGAAGGGACAGGGGTTGAGGATGATGGAGCCCTGGGAGCAATCACATCACTTTGACTTCCACTTTAGAGCCGGGCTGTGGCTGAGATGCAACTGTCCTAATTCTGAGAGTTGCCTTATGTTCTCGATAGCAACTGTCTCTCCTACAGAGCATCACTAAAGCAGCTTTACCTTATTGATCATTTCCATTTATCCTCCCTGGTGTGGGGTCCCCATCTATACTTCTCCAATGGCCCTTTCCCATGCTAAGTTTATTTCACAGTTCACCTCTCACCTGCTTCTTGAACCTCACTGGAAAGAAGTGGCTAAGAGAATGAGCTGCACATGTTGTACCCAGCCATCGAACACCAGCGTCTAGTTTTTATTATGAACACATGCTTAATAAGTGACTATCATATGCTGAACTGTACTAGGTTGTGCATAGAAAATGGTCAGTCCCTGACCAAGGGTTTTTGAGTGGCTGCCCTCCTTTCTGGAACCTGTAAATAAGTTCTATAGGGCACACTTTCTTCCTTGATGCCTTTCAAGAGACAACAAGAAGGAGCACACCAAATGACCATTGCTACAGTTTGAGTCTGAAAGTGTTCCCCAAGTGTCCGTGTGGTGAAGGCCCCTCCAGCTTGGTGCTCTTGGGAGGGGGTGGAGCCTTTAGGAGGTGGAGCCTAGTAGGAGGTCTTTAGGTTACTGGCAGTGTGCCAAAGGGGAGAGTGGGACAATAGTCCCTTTATCATTTTCTCTTTCACTTCCTGGTCACTAGATGAGCAGTTTTGCTCTGCCATATGCTCCTGCCATGATGTACCACTATAGACCCAAAGCATCTGATCATCTGACTAAAATCTCTAAAGCTTTAGGCCAAGTTATACCTTTCCTCTTTATAAGTTGGTTATCTCAGGTCTTTGTTACAGTAATGAAAAGCGTTAACGTGACCTTCATGATCAAAGTCCCAGTGGTTTGTTACCACTGAGAGTTATTAATGAGAGATAGTGAAGTCATCTTCTTTAGGAAATCTGAGAAATGCCTTCAGCCTGAAGGAGGAGCAAGACAGCTGGGAGAGAAAGCACAAACGGAGAGCCAAATATTCTCAGGACACCAGCCCACGGAAGATCAACCCCTGTTACCTGAAGGCAGCACCCTGAGCACTATTTGCTGCGACTCGTCCGATGCTTGGCTGACCCACTTGCCTGGGTGACCATAAAGTTGCCATTCGGCCACCCTGCACCAGTACATGCCGGCGTCCTCCATCTCCACTGCATGAAGCTTCAGGACAAAGTCTGTAGGGGAAGCACGGGCACAGTGCAGATGCCCCCTGCGCCCCTCTTCTCCATACTCCAGCAAGCCATCGTGGTGCAGGTGCACCAGCATCTGGCTCCCGGTGTCTCCTCTGCTCCTGAACCACGTCACAGAGTACAGGGAGGCCTCGCTGCCCCAGCTCTCCAGGCTGCAGCTGAGGGCCACCTCCCTGTGCTCGGTAGCATTTTCCGTGTGGTGAACTTTGGAGACTTGAACCTTACTTCCTAGAGGACGAAAGGGCAATAGGTTAGAGAAGAACACAGACTTCTAGGTTGGATGCCTCCTCTGGAAAATCCATTTTTTGCTGGAAGGATCCTATCTGGTATTCTTTAGACACCAGACTCATTCTTCACCTTTAATATTTTTCCTTGATCTCTGCCCTTTCCTTCACAATTGCGGGAACATTCTTGGGCGTGAATCAAGCCAACCACTTCCCTTCTTATTCCTGCCGCTAGCCTGGTGGACCCTGCTACGGAAAGCCACCGGGCTGCCGCCAGGCCCTTATGGCTGCTGCTTTCACTTCCCCTTGGTCAACATCTGACTCAAATTCCCAGAGGGGCTATTCAAAGCTGCCAGCTCCCCTTCAAATTTCCTGTCACACCATTAGCCCTCATTCTCAGCAAACTGCCTTCCTCTGAAACACCCAGGAATCACTCAGGTATAGACACAGAGAGAAGAGGCCATTTGAGAGACCGATATTTTGATACAAGTGGTAGGATATCACCCAAGGGAGCTATTTAAGTTATTTGATTAGACTATGGTTTAAAAAGATTTTGATGTTTTTCTCTCCCTTCCCACTCACCAGCAGGTAAGGATTAGGAATGATATAATTACAAAAACTAATATTAATCAAGAAATTATAGTGTGCGTTACATTTTCAACTCCCCTCTCAATGCACTTATTAAGCTATTTAAAGAACAACTTTGTCTGATATCAGACACTTGTAACTGTCTTTGCTCTCCCCTTTCCTACATGGAAAAGTATGTAAAATATTAGTTTATGTGAAACTGTTTCCTCGCTGACTCCCTAATTGATTACAATCTGACTTCCAGTTCCATCACTACACTTGTGGTGGGGCCCAGTTTCCCAGCTCAAGGGACCCTCCAGTGTTTTTCTGTTCTCTCTGTGGTTTTATCACTAAAATCTATTTTCTTCAAAAATATTTTTCTTCCTTGGCCTCAGAGAAAATTTTCTTCCAACAAGGCTGACTGTCCTTCTGAATATCTTTTTTGTTTTGTTTTGTTTTTTGTTTTTAGCTTTGTCTTGGTTTTCTTTTTTTGATATTGTGAATTGAACCCAGGGGTGCTCTACCACTGAGTTACATCTCCAGCTCTTTTTATTTTTTATTTTGAGACAAGTTCTTGCTAAGTTGCTGAGGCTGGCCTTGAAGTTTCGGTCCTCCTGCCTCAAGCCTCCAAATCATTGGGATCACAGGTATGCACCCCTGCACCTGGCCTTCTCAATATCTATTCTTGAGGTTCTTCTTTAATTTATTTTCCTAAGCCAGGATGCATAATCGCAACCCACAATCACACCTAACCCGCAAACAGGCTTTATTTGACACCTTCAGTATTTTAAAAGAATTTGAATAGTTGTAAATGTTCTCAAACTGGGAGATATCAAAAAAGACTGTGGAAATTTTTTTATATACTAAAAAGTCTAACGACACTGACCCCACATTTCCACACAGAAAGTACTGGCTCAAGACAAGAGGTGTCTGCCTCCTTGAAAGGAGCATACACACACTGTTCAGATTTGGACCAGGACATCTGGGAGGCAGTGATGTCAGTCACACAGATTCCAAATGCAGAAAAATGTCTGAGTCTTGTGGGTTGGCAGAGAGGAGAAGTGCAACTGGGGCAGGCTGAGGTTGAAGGTTTCTGGGGTAACCAAGTAGAAACGTACAGCTGGCAGCTGGGTCTAAAGGCCCAGAGCTCGGGAGATCAGGGCTAAGCATAAAGGCTTAGAGTTATCACCCTGAGGTGGCAATTAGAACCAGGGAAGTTTAGAAAGTTCTGAGGAAAGCAGAGAATAAGAAGCAAAAGGGCCCAGAGTGTATCCCTGAGGAACTCTCATGCTTAGCAGGGAGAGGAAGAGGGGCCCAAAGAAGGAGACAGGGAGCCAGAGCAGCAGGAAGAAATCCTGCTACCAAGCTATCCCCTGCTGCTCCCACAGACTGTGAGCTCCTTAAGAGCTGTGCTTTACTTATCTTTTCTTTCCCATTGCTTAATCTATAGTAATCTTCGATTTTAGTCTTATTTTTGATGTTACCTCGAGAATAGTCTTTTGAGCACCCAGTTAGCTTGACTTATCTGCATTATGCTATATGGATCTGGTCAAGTTCCCAAACTTTAGCTGTGACATTCATTTTAATCAACAGTGGAGGTGACCTAACCAATGCCAAGAGAGCCAATCAAGCCTGTCCACAGTTATACAGCAACACTCTTAGACCAGTGTAAATGGATGGAACTTCCATTACATTTTTAAAGATCTCCTGAGGAAGAGGAGATTCCCTCAGTCAGCCATTCCAACAGTTAACTACTCTTATTTGCCTTATGTTTAGGCAGCCAAATGTTGAAAAGCAATTTCTCCACACATCCCCATAGAGTTGTACAGTTTCTGTTCACAGTGGGAGAAATATGCTTTGCATTACTCTTTCTCTGCCAAATTACAGTAGAGCCCCACTGGAGTGACACAGCTTGTTATTATAGAGATCTGGAGATACGATGCCCTGGGTAGCTGCATAGACCAGGCTGCCAGGCTGATAAGCAAACCAATCGCAGGGATCTTGTTCCTGTCTGAGCTCCTCAAAACCTCAGACTGCCTTAAGTGACCTCCCCTGGCAGACACTATTCCTATGACTTTAGGTCATATTTCTACTTCCACATAATCATTTCATAGAAGAACTGCCTAAGAGAAGGTGGCAATCTTACAGAAAGACATGCGTCAACACATTCACAAGAATTACCTGTGGGCCTGAGCTTCAGTTCTGTTAGTCCTGACTTCTTTCCTCCCAGCTTCTTCCAGGTACCATCTGTAGACAAGAGCCATTCCTCCACGGCACAGTAATATCTGCCCTGATCACTGTCTTCCACACTTAGAATATGTAGCTGAAACAAGTCTTGGGAAACTTTCTCCATATGAAATTTTTGTTTTTTCTGTGGGGTATGAAATTCATCCCCATATTTTACAACACTGGTTTGGTCCATCTCCAGGATCCTGAGCCAGGATGCATTAGAAGAAATGGGAGAAAAATACCAAATAATTGCTAACTGAAGGTTTCCAGTGGTCCGAGATAAGATGTTACATTCTATATTGGTGTTGGAGATGATGGAAATCTCTTGGGATTGATTCCTTGAGTTCACTTTTAGCTTGCTCTCTGAATGAAAAGAATGAAAACAGTTACTTTGCTAGAAAACAGAATTTTCAGGTAGAAGGGATATTAGAAGTCAATGAGGCCAACCCTCCTGTGACCGTCATATGTGAGAATTCCCTCTCAGCGGCCACATGACCTGCTCATTCAGCCTTTGAACAATTCTCCAATGATGCAGATCATTCCATCTGGGAACAACTATGCCACTGGAGAATTCTGTCTGATATCAACTTGAGTTTTCTCTCTTTGTAACTTGCACCCACTGGTCCTAATTCTTCCCTTACTGGGTGGGGAAGGGAAGTATCATATAGAAAAGCTCATTCTCTTTCCAACATGATGATGCTTTAGTGTTTCAGCACAGACACCCCTTCTACAGCATTTTGTGTTTCAAATTAAAGAAAGCGGCATTCCTAATGCTCTGTGTGCTTGCTATCCAGAGTATTTCTGGTTTCACAATTTGTCAAAGTCTAGTTATTGCTGCCTTCAAACATGGGTAAACAAAAGGAAATTGTGCAGCCACTCCACTGCGAAGCATCCAATAATATGGAGTCCATCTCCTTTAACCTCTCCTTTCTGCTTTGTCAGAAAGATGCATGATAAACTTCTTTTCAAATCTTATTTTAACTGATGTCACTGAGCCTACTTTTATAACTGCTTGTTGATGTTGCCAGTCCCTGTTATGGTTTGGATGTTAGGTGTCTCCCAAAAGCTCATGTGTGAGACAATGCAAGATGGTTCAGAGGAGAAATGACTGGGATATGACAGCCTTAACCCAATCAAGTGAATCAATCACCTGATGGGATTAATTGAGTGGTAACTGAAGGCAGATAGGGTGTGGGCATTGGGGGGTGTATATATTTTGGAGTATATATTTTGTATTTGGTGAGTGGAGTCTCTCCCTCTCTGCTTTCTGATCATCATGTGAGCTGCTTCCCTCCACCACACTCTTCCACCACAATATTCTGCCTCACCTCAAGCCCTAAGGAATGGAGCCAGCTGTCTATAGACTGTCTATAGACTAAGACCTATGAAACTGAAACCAAATAAACTTCTCCTCTAAAATTGTTCTTGTTAGGTCTTTTGGTCAAAGCAATGAAAAAGATGATTAAAACGACCCCTTTACTCTGTTTCACCAAACATTTATTTATCACATACTGTATGGCGTGCAAAACTATTCCAGGTTCTATGGGTAATGCTCCTTGGTGGCTCACTTTTAGAGAGAAAGGGACAAATACAGGGACAGAGGGTTATAGATCATAGCAGGTGTTACCTATGTGGGAAGTACTCAAAGTATCAGAGCATCCAGGAGCCCACCTAACCCACATGTAGGAGTGAGGGGAGACTTTTTGGAGGAGACCACTGTGAGCTAAGTCTTAAGGGTTTACAGGAATGATCCTGATGATGAAAAGGCAAAGGAATTCCACATAAAAAAGCAACTTGAATGAAGAAAATTTAAAATGACAGAGAACATGGATTATTGAGGAACTGCAAGTAATTTGGTATGACTTGAGCTCAAATCCAAGATGGAAAGTAAAAGGAGATGATGCTGAGAACACATAAATGTCTTTTATTATAAAGGACCTTGCATGTCACGCCATGAGAATTTGAACATGTGGAGGGCATAGAGGATTGTGAATGACTCAGGTTTCCAAATTGGGCCACTGGTAGGTGGTGGGGACACAGGGCACAATGTGGAAGGAGTAGCTTCAGATGATAGTGGTGAGTTTATGTTTTGACACAGTGAGTGTAGACATGGCTTGGAGGCAATTAGGTGTGAGTCTGGAGATCAGAAGAGAACTCTTTCAGGATAGCGGACTTGGGAGTTGTCAACATATAGGTATAATTATAGGTAGGGTTGAATCTAACTCCAGAGAAAGTGTAGCATCATGGGAAGAGAGTAATCCAAAGGAAGAATTGTCTTTAAAGAATAAATCGGTGGAGGAGGAAAACCGTGTAAAAGAAATTGGTAAGGAACAGTCAGTGTTAGGAAAGAAAGGAAGAAAATCTTCTGTCATAGGAACAAGAAAAAAAGAAGTTTCAAGAAAAAAGGTTTTGGGCAACAGTAAAGGAAGGCATTATTTAATAAACAAGAAGATCATTACTTTTATGGAGAGTATTGCTCAACAGCAGAAAGAACATGACAGCTACTGTGTTTGAGCATCTGCTTGGTATATCAGGCACTGTGCTAGGCACATTATATATGTCACCACATTTAAGTTGCACATGAGCAAATTAGAGAAGAGGAAACTAAAACTTGGACTGATTAAGTGACTTGTCTGAAGCCAAGCTTTTATCTAGTGCTTGTCAGATCTAAATTCCTTGTCCTAAGACAATGCGAATAATAAGGAGAAGATACACAACATAACAGAATTTTTTCCAGGTTGTGTCTTACCTTTAACCTCTGTTTTATCAGCAATTGATGAGGTGGATTATATTTCACTGTAATCATAAATTCTTTGACTCATATATGTTTTTAAAATATTTTGTTTTAGTTGTAGTTGGACACATACTTTTATTTCATTTTTATTTTTATGTGCTGAGGATCGAAGATCCACACATGCTAGGCGAGTGCTCTGCCTTTGAGATACAACCCCAGCCCCTTGACTCATACATGAATACATTAAAAAGAAGTAGATCAGTGTTGTTGTTGTTGTTTTTTCCCCAGTGCTGGAGGTTGAACCCAGAGCCTCACACATGCCGGACTAATGCTCTACCACTGAGCTACATCCCCAGCCCAGATCAGGGTATTATAATGGAATTTACATGGTCCCTACCACTAGGAAAGACATTCCAAACATTTAATAACTGCTAGGACATGGGAAGAGACCTACCAAAAAGATTGCCTCTCTTCTGGAGCTTAGCCCTCCAGGTCCCTGCTATGGTAGGCAGTACCCTTTAGTTTCTGGGTGGGAGAAACTTTGGGGCAGTTGGGGAAAGAGCCCAGAGCAGTGGTTATCAACTGGTGTGGAGTAGTTCAGTGATTTGACAGCCAAAATGGCCACCCTGTGCATATTAACTTAATGTCCTCTTATTTTAGGTAAGTTGGATAAATACACATAAAGAACCCTGTCCCCATATCTGTACTGTATAAGTAAGAACCCTATGTTGGGGTAGCGCTCAACATATGGTTCTCACTTATACAGTGCAAATATGGGGACAGGGTTTTTTATGTGTATTTCTCCAACTTACCTAAAATGAGAGGAATTTTTTAAAAGCAGAGATTAATTTCAAGTGTCACTTACCTGGTAAAGTGACCACTATCCTCAATGGGTGAGAGACGGCAGAAGCCCTGGCTGGGCTATTTGTGGATAGGGAATTTCTGTCATAAACTTCCACTTCACACTCATACTTTCCTGTCTCTTCCTCAGAGGCATCGTGGATTAGGAGTTGAGAACGAAATGAAGACTGTGAAACCTTCGTCTTCTTTTGGAACTGGGACAGGGAATCCCCCCATTCGATAATGCCATTGTGAGTGACTCGAATTAGCTGACGAAAGGCTTGAGACCCATCTGGCTGGAACCGCCACCTCACAGTGAGAGGCAGTCTGAGGTCAGAGTAGTCAGCCCCCGCTATGCAGGACAGGTCAAAGGTGTCCCCTAACTTCACTTGTGGCTGACGGCTCAGCAGATTAACTTGTAAACTTGAGTCTGCAGACAGAAAAGTGAAACACAATTTCTAATATGTTTACCAAGTCAAAGAGCAGATCTTTCAAGCTTTTTAGTGCCATCTTCACACGGGACTGTGCACCCATCCATTCATTCCGAGGGCTGTGCATTTGGGGGTAGAAGCTGATTCACAGTTCAGTCTGTCCTGAAGGCTGATCTATTTTCCCAAGCTGACCTACCACTGTTCTCAGCCCTGACAACAAACAGGCAGGGTTTCTCCAGTCTGCAGCTTGGACAGCTGCTGCCGGGTGGGTGTAGCACTAGGGCCCCTGTGGTCTGGCCTTCTTCCTCCCACCCCCTCACCCTGCTCCTGGGGGAAGGGTCAGTCTCTCTTGCCCATGCCAGAAGAGACTCCAGTAGGCCAGGCCTGCAGCTATCATAAACCAGAAGGTGTAAGGTTCGGGGCACTCTCAGGTCGACTCCAAATCATAGGACTTTCTTTTTAACCATGAACAACAACTTATGAGTTGCACTCTAAAGATAATCCTTGTAAAGATAAATAAATTTTAGAGGTTAACTGACAGACCTGGTAGCCCGAGACTGTGCTCTGTGTTCCTGAGGTACACATTTGCTTCCTGGGGGACTCAGAATGATACCCAACCAGATTGCACCTCAGAATAAGGGACTGATGTGCAAGTTCAGAAAAGGGTTTCTTGGGCACTTACTCAGAGATCTGACGGTGACTGAAATCTTGTGAGTCCAGTGCCGACCTCTGGCTGGGTTCTGGGCCCCTTCGGACACTCTGCACTCATACACACCGCTGTCCGAGACAGTGCTGGAGGCGATCTCCAGCTGGAAGGTGGCCCAGTCCAACTTCGCCAGCCTCATGTTGCCATGGTAACCGGGGTCCCCAGAGGAGACACCCAACTTCACAGTGCCATCCTGCGCCATGCCAGCCACAAGCTTGGGCTGGGTCTGGTCCTGTGGGATGTGCCACCAGGTCACGGATAGAGGACTCTCAACCCCATCGGTCTTGCAGAGAAGGGCAAGCGCCTCTCCTTCCCACACAGCTTGCTGTCTGGTAGATATGACCACGCTTCTTGCTGTGGATTACAGATTTAAGAAGAAAAAAGTGTTTCAAGTAAACAAAAATATTTTCTAAGATGCAGAGAAATCTCATGACTGAGGACTTGACTAGCTTGAGACAAATCAGATTGGGCTGTTTCTTCACTTTCAGGAAAAATGTCTGCTAAACCTTAAAAAGGCAAACAAATCAGCAGAAAGACTATCAGGAGAACCTACTTACACTCAAACAATTTCTAGTTTGCACATATTTTAAAAATCATTTTGTTAAATCAGCCTTTCCTAAAGAATAGGTAGTTGGGCAAACATCCAATAATATTTTGTTAGATTAATTAGGGTGGGTGTATGAGCCTGAAAATAATGAAGCTGTGCTCATTTAAATTTTTAGTTTTTCAGAATTTAGCCTTCAGAATTCAAAATGATCTTTTTCTTGCTATGTATGCTTCCCTAATCAGCCCTAATTAGTTTAGGATGTGTCTTATACAGAACAAAACATTGTTAATTAGATCCTGCTCATAATACTGTCATAAAAATAATTACTTGGGGGAAAATTATATGCATACATATGTATGTGTGTGTGTGTGTGTGTGTATATATATATATATATATATATATATATATAAATCTATCTATCTATCATCTGTTGTAAATGGGGAACCTGCTTATGTCCAAATTATGGTGTAAGATTACAAATGTAAGGCCAGCGCCCCAATGGGAAATTCAAGATATGCAGAAATGCAGACTTGGATTCGACAACTGTTTATTGTGCAAGGTCTCATCCTGGTTGCTTTGTGGGCAATGCAGAGATACATGAGATACATCAGAGATACATACAGAGATACATCAGGAGCTCCTGCGTCCTAGGCAGCTGGCACCAAGTTTAAGACCAAGACCCCTGGAGTCAGAATTACCCTGGGCAACATATTTGACCTCTCTGAGCCTTAGTTTTCTTTCCCATAGAAATGAGGGTAGTAATAGCACCCACCTCATTGCATCTTGAGAAGATTGAGCAAAGGGCACACATAGAGGGCTGAGGCCAGCTGGCTAGGGAAAGTACTTGGTAAAGTTTAGCTATTTGCTTTAGTGTTTAATAAGAGGCACTGGGAAAAGCAGAGGTAGTTCAAAGCAAAAAAGAAAAACAAAATAGAATTAGCATTAGACATCTAAGGAGGAACTAAATGAATCTGCAAATTGCTTTTCCCTAAGGAGGAAGGACTTCAGTCTTTAGCTGCTTTATGAACACATATGAATAAGTTATAAAGGCAAAAAAAAGGTTAGTGTCCATAAATAGGTTAAAAAAATAATGACAAACCTGCTTCTAAATTTTGGATATTGGAGGTATGATTATGCTTTAAATTTTTTTTCAATATAAAAATGATTCAATGACTCACAATAGAAATTTAGAAATTAGAGGGGAAATTATTACTCATACTCTCATCACTTTAACATAACCAATATGACTAGATTAAACTAAAATCATTTTTTTTAATTAAGTTTTTTTTTTTAATTCATTGTGGTCATTAGTGCCTTATAGGAAGAAACAATAAATTTACTAAGTGTGTGTAAGTTACACATTCACAGTGATAGTGGATGCCCACTTCTGTTTAAAATATTCATAGAATGATAAAACTCTGCTCATACTTCAAACAATGGTTTGAGTTTCAAAACAGAATGTTAAATAAGATCCTTAATAAATATGCTAATAAGTTTTCCTATCGCTACACATTAGGCCCAGCTTGGACTCCAGTCTATGCAAAGAATTATTTTTAGCTTTGGAAGATAACCCCACTGATAGGATTATGAGCTGCAGACCACGAAGCACACCATTGGATCTTTTTGGCACAAATTTCCACATACTGGGCTTAAAAATGGTTGCTGACATGTTCCAGGGAGGTTGAGAAACACAAAGGAGAGATTTAGCTCTGTGTGAATATATAAACTTGCCTACATTGTTTTTCTGAATCCTAGAAAGTTAGACCAAATGTTTAGAGTGAAAACGACACCAACACCCTTCCTGGCCTATCACTCCAGACTGGAGTTTGTGCATCTTCATTCCTAGCCAGTGGGGAGATGGAGAAGAACACAAAAGGGAAATTTATCTATCCTTGGAAATGCCTCTAATGAGCAAGTGCAACAAGAATAGCTTTATCCTTAGTTTCATTCTTTAAATTTTTTAAAAAAAATTTGTTTTGCTTTTTGGCAATTATTCTTTCTAGACTTTGAACTTAACACTCAGCCCAGAGAATCCTAAAATCAGTTGTGAATTTGTCTGTTTTCACTCCACACAAAGAGCACTGATTATTCAAACATGTTTAAGGTCAGCCAAACTTCACAAAGCAAAAGCAAACTGAGTGGCTATCTTAGTCTGTTTTGTGTTGCTTTAACAAAATACCTGAGGCTGGGTAACTTAAAAAGTAAATAGGTTTATTGTGCTCAAGGTCAGCTGGTAATTGGAGGGTCCAATCAGCATGGTGCTGGCTTCCTGGCAAGGGCCCTCTGGCTGCATTGGAACACAGCAGAGAAGCAGAAAGGGAAGTAGAGGGGGAGTGGATGGGGAGGTCTCACTTTATAACAATCCACTCTCCCAAAATAACATCAATGTGCTCACAAGGGTGGCCCCTGTGATTTCATTACTTCAACACTGCCACACTGGGGGCCAAACTTTCAGCACATGAACCATTGGTTTATAGGACAAACCATATCACATCAATGGCAGTGGCTTTCCCTGTTTCACACATCCGGACACTCAGACAGACATCTCACCACATAACACCAAAGGGCAGGGAACTGAGACTGTCACCCTCATTTTCCTCTTCATTTCTCGAGTGAGTCAGAATTATGAGTAAGTATGATTCCCCACAGCAGGTTCCTGTAACAGGGGACTAATAGAAGGCCCCTGAAAGATATCAGCCCAGACTCAAGGTCATTTAATGTGGTTGTTTATTCCCAAGAAAGACGGATACAGCAGCCAGTAGCTAGCCCTTTACTCTTTATTATTATTATTATTATTATTATTTAGTTTTGGATGAAACTTTCTTTAATTTATTTATTTATATGTGGTGCTGAGGATCAAACCCAGTGCCTCACACATGCTAGGCAAGCGCTCCACCACTGAGCCACAGCCCAGCCTGCCCTTTACTCTTAACCCACTCATCTCTGCCTTCCCCCTCCCACGCACACACAAGTACACACAAAGACAGAGGGCTTCATTAATACAGCTTTTCAAGAGAAACTCAATTATAAAAATGAGCACTAACAAGTCAGGCATACTGGTGCATGCCTACACTCCTAGCTATTTGGGCACCTGAGGCAGGAGGCAGGAGGATCACAAGCATCAAGACCAACTTGAGCAACTTAGTTAGACCCTGTCTAAAACATAAACTTTCAAAAGACCTGGAGATGTAGCTCAGTGGTAGAACACTTGCCTAGCTAGCATGCACGAGACCCTGGGCTGAATCTCCAGTACTATCAAAGAAAAAAGAACAGATGGAAAATAAATAGAATCAAATAATCTAAAGCAGCCAGAAGGGACTTGACCATGTAATTGTGTGCCATCATTTTACAGAGGAAGAAGCTGAGATTTCGAGAAATAAAGAAGTGTGTCCATAGTCAGGGCCCACTTAATGGCTCAGAAATGGGATCCAAAGATTTCCTGTTTCCTTTTTTTTGCTCCACTTCACCTCCAGCATGGTCTTATTGGCATCCAACTCTAAGGGAAGACCTCCACTATGCCCATGAAGGGGGGGCCTGCCCAGTCCTGACTTCACATACCTGCTGGCTCCCTCAGGCGCACGTGGCTGACTGGTGACTGCTCCCTCTGCAGCACCTGCCAGGAGCCCGTCCAAGCCCTCACCACCTCTGCCACTGCACAGCTGTAGTCGCCTTCATCCTCTGGGCCCACAGAGAAGATCTTGAGAGAGAAAGCCTTAGGGTTCATCTTGGAAACCTGGAGCCGTCCTTGACTCGCTCTGTCTTTGTAGCCCATCCTCAGGTCCAGGACTCCACTGGCATCAATGCTGGCAATTTCTGTCCCATTGAGGAACCAAAAGCCCTGAAGCTGTGGGTCCCGCACACTGCCCACCACCAGGCAGGCCAGCTCCAAGGGCTTCCCTTCGACAGACGTGCTCTCAGTTGTAATGCTGACTTTAAAATCTCTCCCTGCCAACAAAAGCAAGGCAGGTATTTAGAAGGCCCACTGCATCTGTCCTGTCTGAACCAGAGGTGAGACCCCAGTACAGATACCACGGAGACTGCATTTTATGTGGTGGTTCAGCTCTACAGTTCAGGTAAGCTCCTCAAGGCCTCCCAAAGTTTCTAGAGTAAAACATGCCCATGACTATTCCTTAAGTCAGGAACAAAACAAAACAAAACAAACAAACAAAAAAACAGCACACATGATTTTCTGAATGCAACCCTAGGAAGCAAGAAGTATGCACAGATATATAAAGTATATAGTTAAGTATGCATTTTAAATTAAAAATAAAATCGTTTTGATATGTGGGATTATTGTAAATGATGATGTCTTTCTCTCTCACTCTCTCTTTTCATTTGGGCACTGGGGATTGAACCCAGGGCCTCATGCATGCTGAGTAGGCACAGTACCACTGAGCTACACCCCAGCTCTTATTTCTTTCTCTCTCTTTTTTTTTTTTTTTTTTTGGTCTGGAATATCCAGTGGAATTTTCCTAAGTTGAAAGTGTAAATGATGTGGTTCCACAGGACTCACTGAGATACCTGAGGCCAACAGGACCATTTTATAATGGAAGGGAATAATATGCTTCTTAAAAAAGAAAGAGCACTTCAACGACCCACCATTGGAGCAATACTTTTAGCAATGGATATATACGGTTTTAGCAACTCCCTTCTATTGGATCAAAGCCTCCATAGAAAGACCAGAAAACAGACAAGGTTCTTCTGCCTAGTTTGACAAAAAATGTCAATGGATCACGAGGTGTGATGCCATTCCAACATGGACAGGGGTTCAAGTGGAAGGAAATTTTAGCACCGACAGAGACAAGGCGTCCTGTTGGAAACTGGAACACCATTAAGGCCCAGCTGTGGTGGTTGGTGGGCTTTGGAGAGAGACTGGTTTGCCTTTGAATGCCAGCCCCTGTGCTAACCAGCTGGGTGACCTCAGAGAAGCATTAGCATTGGCTTCAGGTTCCTCATTTTTTAAAATGGGAGTTGACTTCTTACCTCATAGGGTGAATTGTAGGACTCAGTTAAATAATGTAGATAATGTGCTTACAAAGTGCCTGGCAAAAATGGTACCAAAACCCTGGCTATCTTGTGGAATCAATCTAACTTTTGTGGGATATTTTTTGGAGGAGTGGGTACTAGATTTGGAACTCAGGAGCACTCTAGCATTGGGCCTTTTTTATTTTTCAGTTTGAGACAGGGCCTCACTAAGTTGCTCAAGCTGGCCTCAACTTTTGATCCTCCTGCCTTAGCCTCCCAAGTTGCTGGGATTACAGGCATGTGGCACTATGCCTGGCTCAATCTAACCATGTAAGATGCCTTGTCCCATATAGAATCTCCTATGAACAAAGCCAAAATGAGCATCCTTCTTTTTAGTTATGCTGCCTAGATGACAAAACCAAAACTGGTTCAAATTTTCTAGCTAAGCAATTTACAGTCTACCTAAGATTAAAAAAAAAAAAATAGAAAGATGTTCGATAAATACTCAGTCCTAGTGAATTCACGTATTTCCTGAGATGATAATTACCTGCTGGCTGGACCCTCAGAGTTGTTTGATCTGTCTTCTTTTTCGTGATGAATGTCCAGGTTTCATCTGGATCCTGGATCCACTCGGCTGCTTCACAGAACAGTTTGCCTTGATCTGAGGGCTGGAGATGGCCTATGGACAGTCTGAAGGTGGCAGTCCCAAGCTTGTGGAGCTGCACATCACCAGCTGCAAACCTCTTTGCATATGAGGGCCCAGGGGTCAATACAAAATCTCTGGAGAGAGAAATAATGCTGGTGGCTTGGCTCCTTCCTCCTTCCTGCATCAGGTACCAGGTGATGGAGAGATGAGTATGTTGAGCTGTGGCTTTGGATGCCTCACAGGTAAGTTCTAGAGGCTCACCTTCCTCCTTACTGAGAGTCTGGGAACTCATGGTGGCAGAGAGGGTATCTGGAATGACTAGAAACAAAGGAATGATGATAACCTGACAGACCCATGCTTGTCCAATTAGCCTCTGGAGGTGGAGAGGGTGCATCTTCTGGGTTGGTTTCTTACTAGCCCTAGGCTTTCCCTCTTGCCAATGGGAACATTGGCATTTGTGTTTCTATGGAACTTAACAAAGCAAATATCTCAGTGCCGTATGGACCCTGGCTTTGTGTCATTAGCATAAGCTGTAACCAATTTAGCTACTCCACATAGAAAGCTTATAGGGGAAAACCAACCGATAGCTACCAGACCTAGATTTTGACCCTGATTGTCCATCCAACTCCATGAACTTGGGCACAACACAATGGTTCTCTGGGCCTTAACCTGCTTCTTGTGAAATAAAAATTCTGAAATCTCTGCTATGAGTTATCATTCACAGCTAACAGGCAATCCTTATCTAAGTTTCTGTAACTCTCCTACTACCTTACCATTTTCTTCTTCCTCAAATGAAATTGAACAGCAGAAACTCGTGTGAAGGCAACTCTTAGACCAGTCATTTAATATGGTTGAGCATCTTACTCGATGCAACCATTGTGGTAGGAGCTGAGATGAGCATTCTCTTTTTGAGAAGCTCAGAATGTGGTGGGAAAGGTGGGTACACAGAGCTAGTCGCCTCATAACTGGGTGGGTGGTAAAGACAGTGGTGTGAATTGAGCATGGAGAAGAATGACGGTGGGGGCACTTCCTGAGGCAGTCTATATGGTGCCATGGAAGAGGTAATAACACTGCCTCCTGAAGTAAATGTAGGAGTTTACTAAGCTAAAAATGTGCTGGTATTGGGCTGGAGTTGTGGCTCAGTGGTAACGCACTTGCCTGGCATGCATGAGGCACTGGGTTCGATTCTCTGCACCACATATAAATAAATAAAATAAAGGTCCATCAACAACTTTAAAATATATATATATATATATATATATATATATATATATAAAAGGTGCTGGTATTTCAGGCAAAAGTTTTGAGGATCCTCTCCCGATGGGTGAATGTGTTGGAGAATAGTCATTTGGAAATAGTCATTTCCAAGCTATGGACAGATCACCTGTGATATTAATACCAGATCTCTTACCAATTTACCGTTCTACCTCCAAGAAGAGATAACATGGGTGGGGGACCCTCAAAGATCTGTGGAATGCTGTTGCTATTACTAACCTATGTATACCTATGGGTGAGGCTTCAGGAAGGCCTTGCACTGTCTAAATCTTCATGACACAGAAGACTGGGAAAACTGAATTGATGATTTTTAAGAATAAGAGATACCTATTTGCAACAAATCTCCAAACTATCTGAGGGTGGGGACTTTTTTCCCCAAAGCAAACAGAACAAAATAAAGTCTGTCACATTGCAAGGCCTGTGGTGGCAAAGACTGGCTTCCCCGGGGGCTGGCTAGCAGAAGTGGACAAACAGCTTACCAGTTAGGTTGGTCTTCGCACTGTAACTTCCATAGTATTTTTCATCAGTGTTTGGAGTGTGACACTCATACTCGCCAGCGTCCTTCATCTGGAGCTTTGAGATGTGCAACAGGACTGAGTTGTCCTGCAACCTCTCCACATAGATGTCCTTGTTTCGTACCCGCTGAGCGTACATTGCGTAAGAGAAGGTGTCATCCTTGGTGCTAATGATCTGGACTTCCCTGGTCGGGGCTGTCAGCAGGTAAACAGACCACTGGAAATGCTGCAGGGAAGGTCCCTGATGGCCAGTGACATTGCAGCCAATGCTGACTGGGTAACCTGCAGCTCTATACAGCGGTCCTTTTTGAACGGTTACTTCCCTCTGGCCGACGCTGAGCTTAGCTTGCAAGTAGGAGAAAGAACGGGGAATAAAAATAGATTAGTGCTCTGGTTCCCAACGTACCCCATTATGTAGTTCTCTTTATTACAATTCTGGTAAATGAGATTGCAGGTTATTAGCAATAATCAACTTGAATGTTCACCACCTTCTTCAGGCTGAGCAGCAGTGGAATGACTTAATGAGTTCATTGTTCTTTTATAACTTTAACTTCCATAGTCATTTCTAGTCTTTTTAAAAAATTTAGCTTTGCTGGGCACGGTGTGGCATGCCTGTAATCCCAGCAATTTGGGAGGCTGAGGCAGGGAGGATCACAAGTTCAAAGCCAGCCTCAGCAACTTAGTGAGGCTCTAAGCAACTTAGCAAGACCCTGTCTCAAAATAAAAAATAAAAAAGGATTGCAGATGTTTCTCAGTGGTTAAACACTCCAGGTTTCCATCCCTGGTACCAAAAAAAAAAAAAAATCACTTTATCCTTGTAACATGGCCACATCTATAAAAAAATTCAGCTTACTTAAGTGCACTCATTTTAATGTAAATGCAATCAGTGTATGATAATTGACTTTTATATTATTTTATAGGACAAATCAGCATGTAGCTCCTCAAACCTCAAATTCCAGGGTTATCTGTTATTCCCACAGAAGTGGTTGTTGGAGAGGCAAAATCTTTGGCTCTGCCACGGGCAATAATTTTCCTACTGGTTGGTTGGAAATATTTGTAGTTCTTAGTCAGATCTTATGCAAGGTGGGCTAAAATTAGTATCTAAAGTGAAGTGGCAGTAGTACTTCCCTTCTACACTGCAGTTTTGTTTTGTTTTTTTAAGTTCCTGGAGAGTCACTGTAGCTTTACTGAAAAGCTTCATAATGGATGACTATAAAGTCCAGTGTGATTTGGGATCGGAATTTATTTTAGTTCTTTTCTCACTAAAGTTTTCAACTGGGACCACTGTGGAATGTTTTCTACTGAAACAAATCTTAAATATTAGGTCTAAAGGGGAAAAATGGGATTAAATGGTAGCACTTTGTTAGAAAAAAATTTGAAATCCAGCATTTTGCAGAAATCACACGGTATGTTTTATTAATGATTAATATTAAAGGACCAATTCCTTTTGTGTTTCAAAAAGAACACAGACCAATGACAAAGGGGCCACCAGGGTGGGCTAGATTTTTCACTAGGGTCAGGGTTCAGTGGATGGGGGAAAACAAAGTGGAAAGCATCAGAAGGGTCCAAAAGGGAGCCATGGCTGGTAGCATGGAGTTAATAGAGGTATAGAAGGTCCCCCCCTCCCCATGCTGGGGATCAAACCTAGGGCCTTATACATGCTAGGCAAGTGCTCTACCCCTGAGCCACATCCCCAACCCAGAATAGAGAGTTCTTAAAAAGAAGAGAATTCACAAGAAGCAGAACATCTGCTGGTTTTGTGCCTCCACAAAGAGTAAAGGAGACTACAATGGGGGGTGAAAGAACGAACAAGGCTCATCGTTGGAGAAAATGCCCCTTTATTGAGGAACAGCTCTGCATATTTATAGAGCCGGGGGTGGTTTGACAGTTATGACAGTTTAAGAGTTTAATGGTTTGACAGTTGGCATGGGGTGCTTTCTGATTGGTGGATAAGGATCATGTGCACCAGCAGGGCTAGTCTGATTGGTGGGTAAGGATCATGTGAGCCAGCAGGGCTCACCATTGGATGGCTCTTCTCAGGGAATGGGAAAGTTAGTCTTTGGATCCAGGGTGACTCCCAACAGGGGGAAAAGTGAAGGAAAGGAAAAATGACATTACAGAGTCCATGAAAAGGCTAAGTATAAGAATTTTAGATGAAATGGAAGCAATCCTAAGGGATAGAAGGGACCTATAAAACATAAAATGGGCACCTGATATAGTCATCTAAAAACTATGTGTATGCTCAATCTGAAACTGGTGAACAAGCTAACCACACACAACCGGTCAACTAACCATACACATTGCCGATAATCATTGAAAATACACTAATTTATTCATGAATCCCAATTAATGTGATATATTTATATTGTACTTTTTGTAATACCTAGAAATCAGAATTAGACCACTTGAGAAAAATTTAAATTATTCCTTACCAAAAAGATACACTGCAGAGGCAATTTAAAACATTTTTAGCAATGTCATCTTAGAGAAATGTGTGCACTCTTCATTAAGCCTCATGTAAGAGAATATTTATACCCACACCGTTCATTATAGCCTCAAGCAAAGGGACTATGGTTATGTCCATCAACAGAATGGACACACTATGGCACATTCATAAAATGGAATATTACACAAAAATAAAAATTAATGAATGATAGCTATTTGACATAACATGAATGACTATATTTAATTAAAGATGCAAGATACTTTTGAACCTTTTTTTGCCACTTACAGACTGAGTCTACTGTTTATTACAAAGTTTAAAAGCAAGCAAAACCACATTGTATTTTTTAGTGATGCATATAAGGGTTAAAATTGCTTTTTTTTAAACTAATCTTTTTTTTAAATGCCTTTATTTTATTTGTTTATTTTTATGTGATGCTGAGGATCAAACCCAGTGCCTCACGCATGCAAGGCAAGCGCCCTACCACTGAGCTACAGCCTCAGCCCTAAAATTGCTTTTTAAGAAAAGCTAGGAGGTGGTTATAGAGAGAATCAGGAAAGTGATTGTGCAAGGAAGGATTGTGATCTGGTGGGAAGCAGAGCAAGATGGGTAGGACTTCCAGGGTCCTGACAATGTTCTATTTCTTGACCTAGGTTGTGATCACACTGGTTTTACTTTTTATTTTGCTAAAATACGTGTTTATGTCTTATTAACCTTTTCTTATATATTTTACCATTAAACATATATATTTTTTTAAATGTGGATTTTGAGGTACCGCTAACCTGTTTATATCAGGGCATGTTTCTGGAAAATGATGTCAGTTTTGGTGTCCAGGCAATACTTGTCCAACATTTTCCATCACTTATCAGTGAAATGAGTACCACATTTGGAGAACTTTATTGTGAAAACCAGCACTTCAATTTCTACTGCTTTCTTTGCCGATTCGATACATATTTATTCAGCCACTTATAGTATTTCTGATGCCCGAGAGGCTAAGAAATGAAGATGAGTTTGGAACAGTCTCTGACTTCTAGACCGTGTAATCTAGTCAAGTAGGGTGGAAGTCATCTCTCTTTGAGAAAGACATTAATAAAAGGACTTTGAGAAATTTGAAGAAAGCAGATCACATTGTTTAGGGGAGGGCAGTAGATGAGGCTTATGGAAGATATGGCATTAAAAATGACTTTGAAGAATTGGAAAGATTAACAAAGTCGGGAGGAGATAGGGGCTTTTTAGGTGAAAGAGATTTTATGACAAGATGATATGTAGGAATCAAAAAGACTTTTTCAGACAATAAGGAGCAATCAACTGGAGCGGGGAGAGTTGCATTAAGGTTAATAGGAAGGGGTAAGACTAGCTAAGAATTTTGGATCCAGCGCATGAAGGAATTGACTATCATGTTTAAAAGTCTGGACTTGATTCATGAGGGGAATTCAAAGGGGGAATCCACTGAAAGTGTCTGGAAAGTCTCAGAAAAATTAACCTGTTAATTGTGTGGAGAATGATGAAAGTTAGAGCCCAGGAAAGAGGTGACAAAGGTACAGGGATAAAAAGAAAGGGACTAACTATAGAGTTAGTGAGGAGATGAAATTTACAGAGTTTTCAGTGTTTGGGATGTTTAGAAATAGCAAGGTTAGGGGTTGTGGCTCAGTGGTAGAGCACTTGCCTGGCATGTGTGAGGCCCTGGGTTCGATCCTGGGCACCACATATAAATAAATTAATAAAAGATCCATTTACAACTAAAAAAATATTTTTTTTTTAAAAAAAGAAAGGCAATAGCAGGGTTAGTAGAGGTGTGGGAAGTAAGAAGAAATCAAAGGCATTGGGTTTTATAAGATTGGGAAAATAATGGTACTCATCAGAACTAAGGACATCAAGAAGAGTTACTATTGTTGCTGTTGTATGTTCAAGGGTGAGGGAGAAGATAATGTATGTAATTTTTGGAAATCCAAAAGTTGAGTGCCATGGAATAAATAGGAAGGATATCTAGCAAACATTTGGAAATAATATTTGGAACGTGTGAATGTGTGTGTATTTTAATTTAAAGTCTACTCAACCTATTGAAAACATTTGTCATTTAATCCTTTCCAAAACTCTGTGGTGTCCCCATATTTAGTCATGTCAAAACTCATAAGTGAGCAAGATCATGGGGCTAAAATATTCCAGAAGATGAGCCAGCATAAGCAAGAACAGAGAAAAAGTATGGATTTGAAAAAAAAAAACAAAAACAACTAATTGTGATGGTCTAGTTTGGTTATATTATAGAATATGAGTGGAAGGACCATGGAATAATGACTGGAAACATTGATCAGGTTATATTCTGGAGGAACTTGACTAATAAGACTAGGAGTTTATCCTTCATTTAGGAAATAAATTTTTTGAAAAAGTTGTAGTGAATAAACAAAACGCATAAGTGGCTGAGTCAAATTTGAACCCAGACCTTTCTCCGTGAAACATTTGAAGCAATTGAAGCACAAGCCAAGGCTGTGTTTTCACTGCCTTCTGTAAATCCTGTTTGTAACTAGAGAGAGTTCTGAGCAGTAGGTAAAGGTCAGGTCAGTTCCATGTACGTGTTGAGCCATGTTATGAAATATAAGGAAGAAGGTGCAGGAGAGAATCCTGGAGAGTCTCTCTTTAGAAGATGGGATGAGGACCAAAACCTACAGGAGGTTTTGGAATGGTAGGAGGTTGGAGGGCAGCCAGGACACAGTGGCTTGGAAAGCAAGGGCAACAGAACATTCCAGAAGGAAAGGGCTTGTCAGCCCCGTGGAAGGCTGCTGGGAGGTTGGGGTTCCTCAAGGCAGAGGAGACTCCTTTCAGTCGGACGAGGAGCACGCCGTGGAGACCTTCGTAAGAGATTTCACTAGAGCAGAAACAGCTTCTTCCAGGGTGGGAAGTGACTGCAGGAAATGTAAATTGCCTCAAGATGTTTCATGGAGAAAGGGAAGAGAAGATGGAAGGGCATCTAGGAAGTGTACTTGGGTGGAAAAGTAGCGAGGGGTGGAGAGGACACTGGCGTCTTTGCTTGTTTCCGGGCAGAGGCAGCAGTAGGGGGGTGGAGATGGAGGAAGCCAGAGAGGAAGATGAATGGAGTAAGGCCCTGGTGGAGCCTGGGCTCAAGAACATGATTGTGCTGTGGGCTGAATGTTTGGATCCTCCAAAATTCATACATTGGGATTAATCGGGAGGTGGGGCCTTTGAGAGAGGTAATGAGGGCTCTGAATGAGATTCGTGACTTTAGACAAGAACCTGGGGAGCTGGCAGTCCCTGTGCCAGGTGAGGACACAGCCAGAAGATGCCATCTATTGAGGGAATGAGCCTTATCAGACTCCAGATCTGCTATGCCTCCACCTGGGACTTCCCAGCCTCCAGAACCGTGAGAAATACTGGTGGATGAGCCGGTCAGTTTTTGGTATTTTTGGTACTGCCATTGGAACAGACTAAGATGTACTACCTTCTCAGACAAGTGAAAGAAACAGTGTGGAGATTTCATAGGTTTTGTCAGGGCGGGAGGTGGGGAGGTTGGGGATCAAACCTAGGGCCTCAAGTATGCTGGGCACATGCTCCACCACCACGTGCTCCACCCAGCCCCAGCACAGCACAGCTATTTTTGAGGTGCAAAGGAAGGACTGTCAGAGATCAACTCCAATGGCTATGCTCTGGGATCACACACTGAAGCACCTTATCATAAACACTGTCTTTGTGGCTGTTTCAAGGACATACCTCTCTTCCTCCTAACAGTGAAATGCCTCCGAGGGATGGCCCCTTACTTTCTCTTTAAAGGGACAGAGGATTAAGTCACTTTGCAGAGTAGCTAGTTTCTTTTCTGATGAATATAGAGCCTGGCACTGACACACTACGTCAGGAGTCTTGCTTTTGAAACAACAAGAATTCCCTTGATGATATGGGTTTTCTTTAAAACATGTCCCTGGAATTGTCAAATCACCATTTCAGTATTATTTGAATGGAAAGTATTAGTTTGAAAAATACAAAATGGCCCATTATTCAACTATTTTTGATACCCAAAATGCAGCAATTTCTAATAATTCCACTTTATACAAAACCTACCTAGGGAACAGTCAACATACCAAACAACTTATCTTTCTTTACACATATAAAAACTCCTATGTGCTTAGAGACTGAGATAGCTTGAATCCATAATTAAGTGGAACCTTTTATTTTTCTTCTATGAATACAAACTCAGTGGACAAAAATAGCCCCTCTCCAAAGCTCTCTCCTGTTAATGTCCTTTATTTGCAGGATCTAGCAGGTGAGGCTCAATGCTAAGTCCAAGGATGGACTTACCCATCATTACACTAACTCTACCTAGCACCATATTCTAAACTGTGAGTCAGTCTTTATATTTATTGGGAAAAAAAATAAATGGAGGAGCTGACAGTGTAGCTCAGTGGTAGAGTTCATGTTTAGATGTGCCAGACCCTGGGGGCTAGACCCCAGCACCACAAACACACACAAAAGAATAGGGACAAGTTTACATTTGCTAAACTTCATAACTGATTGATTTATTATCATTTAATTAATTTCTTTCATTTCCTTTTATTTGTTTTTTTTTTGTTTGTTTATTTATTTATTTATTTATTTATTTTTGTGGTTCTGGGGTTTGAACCGAGGGCCTTGTGCATGCAAGTCAAGCACTCTACCAATTGAGCTACATCCCCAGCCCCTCCCTTTATTTTTTTGTAATAACAAATAACATATTTCCAAAACCTTTTCAAGTTACTTCCTGATTTATGTACTCTTCACATTAAAAACTGTGGTTCTGTGAGAGCTGGGGTTGTGGCTCAGTGGTAGAGTGCTTGCCTAGCATGTATGAGGCTCTGAGTTTGATCCTCAGCACCGAGTATAAATAAATAAAGGCCCATCACCTACTAATAAAATATTTTAAACAAACAAATCCAAAAACTGTGGTTCTATACAAAACTAGTGCTCACAGGAGTCAGAATTTAGAAGAAATAAATATGTAGCCCAGTTTAAGTAATTGTTTAAGTAGATTAAGGAAAAGTTTCCAGCTTTCCCCTTTTTAAATCTTAATTACCGCCTTCTTTCCCCTCGATATTCTAGCGGCTTACAAAAATAAATAAATAAATACCCCAAAGCAGCAATGACTGGAGCAACACAGTGTGCGTGTGAGAGAGAATTTGCAATTCTCTGAATTATTGCACAATGTAAACCTAGTTTCCTCCTTTACACAAAGCAAACATACAATCTAAACACGCAAAGCACATAGACTTGAGAATCAGAGTCAGACAACTCAAAAGGACAAAAAGAAACACTCCAGCCCCTGAATGATCCCAGCAGGCACCTATCCATCAACACCTGCCACAACAACCTGGCAGACATTGATTGCCCAGCATGTGGTCCTAGTAAATTCCCCTGCAGGTTGCCTCTCTCCCTTCAGGGCCCAAGTCTGGTCCTCACCAATGTGTCTCTTGAGTCATCAGTCTAGTTCAATTAAACCAATGTTTACTGAGCAACTCCTTTATGCCAAATGCTGCACTCTTATTTTTTGCTACAACCTTGGTTACACTGATTACAGCTTGGTTAAGTTACCCCCATCATCCCAGCCCTTAAGTTTACTGTACTGACTCCATTCAAGTCTTCCCAAAGCAAAAGTTCTTGATGTGATAAAAGGGTCCATGAACTAGGGTGAAAAAAAACCCTACTTCTTTATTTAAATTAATCTGTAATGGAAATTTAGTATTTCCTTCAATTATGAATGTAGACAACAAATCACAGATATTCACGTATCACATACCAGTTGTGGCAGCCGAATTAAAAATAGTATTCTTAGTCATCACTTCTCTGCAGTTTGGTGGTTAATAGATCTATTGCTAGATCTTGTTAGATGATACATAAAGAAACAAATTAATCACTACATCACAGCTTATTAAGATATTTTGATAACTATTCCAATATAGCTGATTTCCTACACAATCCTATGCATTTTATTTTATGCATTTAAATATTTATTCTGAGATGGGGGGGTCTATAAGCATCACCAAATGCTAAAGATACCTGGAGCACAAAAAGCACCTTTTTCCTGTTCTACTTGGTCTCTGGAACTGTTTGATTCCCTGCCCAATTCATCTGATTCTCCCCTCTACCTCCAAATTTCCTTTTCTCTACCCTGTCCTAACATACATAAATAGATGTTCCCACACCAAATAGGACCTTTCATATGGCCTTGGGCACAGCCAAGTGGCTCTTCTTGTCCGCTTCTCAGTTTCTCAGTAGTGAAAGCCCACTTTAGTCCAGAACCTTCTTTTAGCTTTGCTCTCATAACCTTCCCTTTCACCCAGGAACATGTCCAAGGTGCATTTAACTAATCAAACTCTTAACTTCAGGCAAGCTTTAAGCTCTCCTCTCAGGCTGGGGAGCAAAGCTCTCAGTCTCTCTTGGGATGTTCAGCCCATGAAGAAGAAGGAGAGGCTAAGGCCTAGGCCAAACTGTCAGATCAGGCAACATAAAATATATATATATATATATATATATATATATATATATATATATATATATATATATATATATATCCCAACAGAATCAGGTGCATGGGACCCAACCAAGCATCACCACTCCCTGCAACTCAAGGATGTCTGGGGAGGCAAGCACTGTTACATTGCCAATGCTAGAAGCAGGTGCCACAGTTAGCAGCTGTTCCTGTAAAGACCAAATTGCTCCATCGCCCTGGACTGGACTGGCTCCTGCGATGATAGAAACACAGAATTATGAAACTTACTTAGAAAGAGAAAGAAAGGTGCCACGTAGAGAACGTGTGCCATTTGGACCAGACCTCTCCCAGCGGCGCCCGCGAAATCGCTCAGAAGCGGAGTGACAATTGTTAGGCTCTCACTGCAAAGGTAAAGAGGAAGTGACAGTGTGGTTTCCAGTTCATGAAAAAACAGAAATGGCTTGCAAAAAGCAAAGTTGGTTATCTTATATGGTTCTCTGCTAATCACTTAGATGTGGGTGTAAAAAAAATGATCTTCATGGTTAATTAAGATACCCATGTAAAAATAAGATGGGACTCATCCTGGCTAAATATGTATCATTTGGCAATGATGGGGGGGATTTAAGTAAACCGAATAGACAAAAAAGCAACCAGAAATGATCTCTTCTTGACCTTTCCTCTTCTCCCATCTTGAGAGAGGAAACAAGAGAAGGATCCCTAGGAAATATGAACTTGGGGTCAAATGAAGTGTGAAGACGAAGGTTCTGGGGTCAGGTTGCCTGGGACTGCAACTACTTTTAGTAGCTGTGTGACCTTAGAAAAGTTAATTCACCTTCTCAAACCCTCACATGTGATATGGGGACACTCATAAGATGGCTGAGAGAGCTGAATGAGCTAATTTGTTTAAAGTACTTGGAACAATATCCAGTCCACAGTAAGTGCTCACAAACATTGGCTACCAACATCACCATCATCATAGACATTTAAGGGAGTCCACCTGTCCCATGTGGGTCCAACACCTAGGATGACACATGTAACCACTGGCACTGAACCCAGGACGATGTATCCTACTCCAGTCCTTAGAAGGCAAGATCACACAGGGATGCGCTCACTGAGGATATCAGTCTCAGCCTCTGGGCCTTGGGCAAGGCTAGATTTAGATTAGCCAGTAACAAAGTCGTCTGTCTTAGGCCACAGATTCAGGCAGATCCGTGCTCTATCCATCCATCCACGCAGCGAGCCGGTCAGCCAGGGATTTTTTTTTTTAGTCCTCCTGTGTTCTGGGTGCTGAGGTAGGGTTTGCTCATACAAAGATGGATGCTCGAAACCACGCTTTTATGGTCAGGAGACTCCCATTTAATCAAATATCGCAATGCAATGTACAACAATCAGTGTGGCAGAAGAGTGGGAAAGTTGGTGGGTATGAGGGAAGGCAGATGGATGAGACTGGACCAGGGAGAAGCAGGGCAAGGGACAGTTGGAGAGAAACTGTCCAGTGTGGATAGTGACCCACAGGCTGTGTCTTTCGGTTGAAGTAGATTGAAGTGTGAGGCTGGGGTGGAAGGACAGAGTCTGTATAGCTTGGCTGGGGCAGAGCTTAGTGGCCTTTGTATGCCAGGCCCAAGAGCTTGGCTTTTGTCTTAAAAAAATGTGTGTGTGGGCTATTAAGAATATAGTCTGGACAGATTTTCTTTTAAAATGGAATTCCATACTTGTGTATTTCTAACTGGTTGAAAGGTGAGGGAAGGAGACAGGGTTATAAGCAAGAAGGCCAGTTACATGATTTTTTTTCAAAATATATTTTTAAATTATAGATGGACACAGTAGCTTTATTTAATGAATTTATTTTTATGTGGTGCTGAGGATCGAACCCAGTGCTCCACACTGCGAGGAGAGCGCTCTACCACTGAGCCACAACCCCAGCCTTAGTTACAAGATTTTTGTAATTGTTTGTCTGAGCAGTGATGAAGGCCTGAATTAGGGCATTTAAAATAATGACAGAGAGATAGATAAAACAACCAAATACTTACTGAGTACTCCATAGGAAAGAAGTTAAAGTGCTAGAGATCCATCCGGGATTAAAGCAGAGCCTTTCATAGCAATGAGTTTGTGATGGAGGAGTTTGGTGGAGGTGAGTAGGAAAGAAGAACATGGCTGATTGTCACACAAAGGAATTAGATGAAGCCTCCTAGGAGACAAAGAGATATGGACATTCCAGAGAGGGAGAGGGTCTATCTAATTCAGGGCAAACGAACGGAAGGACAGGAAAACCTTCAGGGCAAAGGTGGCATTTTAAGGTAAAATTTGTTTTCTCAGTGGGAACTATAGTGGACGAGGGTAGCCGTCTACACACTTATTCCAGAAGCTTCTAACTTCATTCACGCTTTCTGTTATGGTTTAGATGTGGTGTCCCCCAAAGTTCACGAGTGAGACAATGCAAGAAGGTCTGGAGGAGAAATGATTGGGGTATAGCTTTAGCCTGATCAGTGAATTAATAATCCCTGATGGGATTAATTGAACAGTAATTGAAAGCAGGTGGGTGTGGCTGGAGGACATGGTTTGTTGGGGGCGTGGCTATGGGGTATATATATTTTGTATCTCCCGAGTGGAGACTGTCTTTGCTTTCTGATCACCATGATGTGAACCGCTTCCCTCTGTCACACTCTTCCACCATGATGTTCAGCCTCACCTTGAGCCCCGAAGAATGGAGCTGGCCTTCCGTGGATTGAGACCCCTGAAACCATGAGCCCTCAAATAAACTCTTCCTCCTCTACAGTTGTGCTGGTCGGGTCTTTCAGTCACAGTAGCGAAATAGCTGATTGAAACACATTCCTTCTGCCATCCATCTACACACCCACCCACCAAGCCATCCCTCCTTTCCTCTGGTTCTCTATTCATTAGGAATGATACTTAACCCTCAGTCTCCTAATACTAGTTAACCTACCCGTGTTAAAGTTTTTAGCGAAAAACTCTGCACTTTCCTATGGTTCTGTGCAAGGCAATGGAGGATAGAAGTGTAGGAAGGGTTCTGCCCTCAGGTACATGGAATCTAGTTTAATAAACAACTGTAGATAAGGAACAGTAGCCATATAAGACAGCATGTGTCCTGTGGCCAATTCACGGTCTAGGCAAGAAATCCCTAAAGAGCATTTAGAAAAGCCTGGTTTTAGGATTTGGTACTATTCAAATAGGTAGGGAGGAGAGGAAAGGACATCCCAGGAAGGAGACAGAGAGTGCAGAGAGGGAGAGGCAGACATGTGTAGGGTATATGTAGAGAAATATTGAAGGGCAGTTTGCTTAGAATGATTTCAAACTAACTCTCTAATCTGTTGACTATAGTATCAATGGGACTGAAAGTACAAGAATACATTCACTGTTTCAGTTCGAGAAGTCATGGGTCACGTCTACACACCAATGTCTTGGGCAAATGCACTGTATCAGTTAGTAAGTGCTGTGTAACAAACACAAAGCTTTCATGCTTCTACCAGTAAATACTTATTTTTACTGACAAGCCTGTGGGTCAGCTGGGTTCAGGGGAAGTATGGTCCAGGAGGGCCTTGACTGGACACATTAGCTCTCTTCCATGTGTCTCACATCCCTCCACCCAGGTGGCTTTTGCATATTTTCATGATAATGTCAGGGGTCCAAAAGAACTAGTGAAAACACTTCAGCCCTTTTTCGCTGGTTTGTTTTTGTTGCTGGGGATTTCGCCTAGGGGTGCTTTACCACTGAGCCACATCCTCAGCCCTTTTTATTTTTATTTATTTATTTTTTTAAATTTTGAGGCGTGATCTTGCTAAATTGCTTAGAGCCTCACTATGTTGCTGAAGCTGGCTTTGAACTTGTGCTCCTCTTGCCTCTGCCTCCCAGGTCTTTGGGATTACAGGAATGCACCACGGCACCTGGCCACCTCGGCACATTTTGAAGCTTCTACTTACATTATGACCACTGACAACCTCAGTCCAAAGCAAGTCACGTGGTCAAGCCCAAATGCAAGAGATGAGTTAATAGGACTCTGCATCTTTAATGAGGGGAACTGACAAGTGACATGGCAAAGGGAAAGATGTAAGTAAAACCTGGGGGTCAGTACAATCAATTTGCCATGTGCACCAAAAAGAGAATGGTTTTAGAAATAAGCATTAACCACAGAGACAGTCATTGCCAAGAATACAGAGTACCCGCAACCCTGAAATATATACAACCCAGTGAAGGCTATGCAACTTCTTATTCCTGGCTGTTGCCAAAATATTTTTTTTCCTCTTTCTATTTTAGTGGCTCCATTTCTGCCAGAATTTAACATTGACAGGGTGATGTCGCTTCTTTTCTTAGAGGGAAAAAAGAAGCTTTTTGTTGTCAAGGAAAAAAAAAGTAGAAGAAAGAAAGAAAAAAATAGAGCTGGCAAGAGACAGTTCTTCTATTGCCTTGGGAATCACTGCATTGCAATTGTACCAGCTGAAAGGAATGTAAAATGTGGTTCCTGCTCCAAAGGGAGGGAGGGAGGGAGGGAGGGAGAGGGCCACTACTGGACAAAGCAACCAGGAATGCACAAAAATGGAAAATTCTGTTCCATTTTCTGCAAAATTAATAAAAAGAGTTTTTTTTTCCAGGTTGATGTGCTCCAAAATTAGTTACAGAGATTTATAGAAATTGCAAGTATTGTGGTCTCTCATCATAAGCCTTTAGGCCCCAGGAATAAACAGGGACCTTATATACCAGGTTCTGTGCAAGGCACTTCATAGGCTTAGTTTTATAGGGTAACTCACACCACTGTGTGGTCGGCATTGCCAATCCCATTTCATAGATGAGCAAACTAAGACTTTTGTCATGGACTCACCTGTCCCCCAAATCACAGAGTAGAAAATGGCTGGATTCTAAGGCACCTCTTCACTTCAACACATCTGCTAGCTTGCTACTTATGAATTTTGGAAGGCAAAGGGTGGGATAATGAGTGGTTGGAGGAGGCAGGAAAACATCTATAAACAGTCAGCAGGAAGCGTATCATTATTTTGACCCTTTTCCTATCCAAGTTTTTGTATTTGAGGTTAAACTGATTGCTACTCTACAGGTCCTGGACTTAGCAATGTACAGGAAGCCCTGCAGCTGAGCCTCAGGTCTACATGTAGCCAGAGCATCAAGCTGTCATCCCACTAGATGGGACCACAGCAGTCTCAGTCGACCCCTTCATGCAACTGAGCCCAGGTGTGGCTCAGCCCTGTGAGGGAGGAGGGCACCCAGGTCTCTGCTCCAGACCTCTTACTTTTGTCTGGCTCGACTTCACTAGAGCTGACAATTCCTTCTCCAAGGCAGAAGAGGTTTTTTAAGGTGGGCAACAACACTTTATCTATGGGAAAAAGCATGAGCTAGATTTTTGTGAGCAGAGGCAAAAGCCAGGGCA